TCTAGAGTATACAGCGAACTTTATTTGTTTACTAGTTTCATGAGAAGAATGTGGTGTTCTCATGAAACTAGTACGAAAACAAAGTTAAGCCGTAATTGTTTACATTTTTACCGATTCTGCAGTTTTACCGACAGACGGGAAAGCGTTTATGACAACTTAAGCTATCATCTGACTTCTTATAGGCAATATTAAACATCATAGACAGTTCCAGTATTTGTGTTTACGGATCTTAATTTTCAAAATTGCCCGCAAAAATGTTAAAAAGGAGCTATAGAAGTTTCTTAGAGAGACAAATAATGATTTTGGGGTGAATATGGAATTGTTTTCATTGTCTTTGCATTTTCCTTCCGCCAGTAATCGATCGTAAGTGAGCAGATACCCCCAGGGTGCTAATAGCATGCCGACAGCGAACGTGCCATTTTGTTTCGTTCCTGAGGTCTGTTTGGATAAGTAGGAAGCAAAATATCGTTTTCAGAGGAGAGCCCACACTTACTGTGAAGCAGGGTGAGTACTAATCTTTACATTATGCCAAATTTTAAAAGTAGCTTGGTAAACAATTCTCTTTCGTGAGTGGTAGACATTGTCATATAAAATCACTACCTACTTAAAGAACTGTTTGTAGTCTATGAATAAATACGTGCAACGGTGCACAGAGGACCATTATAGTTAGGCGTGTATGTTGTTTGGATCATACTTAATTTTCTGAGTGTTATTTTTAGGAATAATTTCCATATTTTAACGACTTCATTTATAAGGTATTTAAAGCTAAAAATATATTACACTAACGGGTGTATTAAGCCGTTGTATTTAGAGTTTCAAGTGCAGTTTCTACGCAAGTAATACAGTGACAAACTTCAGAAATATTTTAACAGTTTTAAAGAAAATAGTCCCTTTTCTTTCTAATGTTAAAAGAACGGTTTCCTGTGGTACGTTAATTATATTTTAAAAAATACAAATAAGTGCAGTTATTCTTATAAATTGCTATTAATTTATATTTATATATTTAGACTTTTGTGTTCTAAAGATATCACCTACGAACATTTGGTCTACTTTACGATTTAGAGACATTTAAAATATTCTTAATCCATCCGATGGTATAATCAGGAATTAATTAGTTTAAAGGTTTTTGGCGATTCTGTGGCACAGTGGTTTCTGTTGGACCAAATTCCGAAGTATCGTGGTGTTGAATAGAACCGCTTATATGACTGATAACGTGCAGAAAAGTTTTAAAAGAAGCATCTTATTGTTATATTGCACTGTTAGTTGTTTTGTAACAAATCGATACAATTCATATATTTTATCAGTCGGATCAAACAAATAAGTATTATTTCTGATTAAAGTGCGTGATATTTTAAATTATTTAAGTAAAGTTGCATATATTTTGATGTATTTTAATCTCTACTAACAAGTACAACATAATATTCGTCATTGATCATTCTTTCGAAAATCTACCATTAATGACGCGACGAACAAACATTGACTGGAGACAGGAAACCAACAAAGACAATGAAAACTATGACGTGGAAGCAGTCATCGTTATGTGATCACGAAAATACATTTGGAACAAGTACTCATTCCATAAGATAACCTTAGATCTGTACTGGAATCAGCAAAGTAAGTGTTTCCGTCTTTTCTGAGGAAGAAACTATTTATCTGGTTTAAAATAACATTTTACTCTCCGAACTGCGAAACAAAGTTAATTTGTGATGTGATATTACAGAGGGCATAAAATGCAAAAAGACAATAACAAAGTGGAAATTTTATAATATATAACGAATATTTTATTAGTATAACATTAAAAATGTATCTAATAATGCAAAATTGCAGACAGCATAGTTGAAAGTAAGACTGTCGGTATCAAACTTGAACTTCA